GCGGCGCTCAGCAATCCCATTCTGCTGTGGTGAGTCCGGAAGCGTGAAGGTCTGACGGATGCCTCGCACACGACAGTAGGCACTCAGGAGGCCAGAGGAGAACTCTCCGCCTCTGTCCGAGTGCAGACGCAAAACAGGGAAGTCAGAGCCAAAGCTCCTCCGAAGCTGAAGACGAGCTGCGCGGATCCAGGCGATCAACACCTCAGTGACCTCACCCTTGCTGCGCAAGGGGAAGACTGTGGTGTAACGCGAGTAGTCGTCAACCACCAGCAGGAAGTAGCGCTCCTGACCCTGTCCACGGACGCGGGCTGGGCCCCACACGTCCATGTGAAGCGTCCGCAACGGGGCCTCTGTCGGAGGAAACTGGGAGGAGTGAGGGGCAGCACGCTGGCGCCCCTCGACACAGGGGACACAGGCAGGGCCAGGGCCCGGAGGAAGGGGAGGGAGGGACCGAGGAAGACCAGACACAAGGACCCGCGAGGCCATGCCTCTGAGCCGAAGCAGAGAGGGGTGGCCAAGGCGGTGGTGCCAGAGGAGGGTCTCGTGAGACAGACGACGACACGAACAGGGGGCAGACTCAGGACCAGACCTGGACGCTGCAGCAAACACCTGACCAGACGAAGGGACTCTACCAGACGCAGCACCTGGAGGAGAAGCAGTGGTCAGTGTGTACAGGCTCGACCCTGGCCGACGTGTAAACGTAGCCAGGTGACGACCTGTATCCGCCTGCGTACAGTGGGTCACCCGCTGACGAGCAGGGGTGAACCGGTGGACACCTGCATCCTGGAGGTCAGCACCACTCACCAAGTTCGTCGAGAACGAGGGGAGGTAGAGACCAGTCAGGGTGCCAGAGGGGGCCGCTGGACACGGGAGGACAGTGGAGAAGCGAGACAGGACAGGTCCCCCAGAGGGGTCAGCCAGGGACACCGCAACCGGCCGACTCAGCGGCGTGAGAGTGGTGCGGTCCCTAAAGAAGGAGCGAGACGCTCCAGAGTCAAGGGTGAAGGTGTGAGAGGCCGAAGCCGACACAGTACCTAAGAGCGCGGACTCACCAGCACCTGAGAGCACAGACGCACTGGCACCTAGAGCTGCAGCCTCACTAGTACCTGACGCGGCAGTACCAATGCCCGGGTCGGGCGGGAAACACCGGTAACAGTCATCCTCATCACTACCAGTCACAGCATACATAGCAGAGAGAATAGCATCAAAGTCAAGATCATAAATAGCTACTCCAGCCCTAGACAGCTCTCCCCAGCGGGGGATCTCAGCGGCCTCCGGAAACTGCTGACGCCAGGCGTCGGTCAGGCGGCCAAAGCAGCGACGGGCTGTGTGGGCGCCCCCACACCTATCCCCCGCACGGTCACCGGTGCGAAGAACGTAGGGGCAGGGACCAAGTGCACCACCGCGCTGACGCTGCAAGTACCACTCACGGAGCTGCTGAGGGCCGGGGACGGTGCGAGAGCGCTGCTGCTGCTGCGGCTGCTGCTGCTGCTGCTGCTGCTGCTGCTGCTGCTGGCGCTGACCACCCCCAGAGCTGCTCCGCTGGGACGAGCCACTCCGACCCCCGCCTCCACCGCCACCCCCGCCTCCACCGCCACCCCCGTCTCCACCGCCACCTCCCCCACCAGGACCGTCGCTCCCACCGCTCCCACCGCCTCCTCCGCTACCACCTCCGCCGCCACCTCCGCCTCCACCGCCACCACTAGTACCTCCACTCCCGCCACCACCCCCACCGCCACTCCCACTCCCCCCTCCACCCCCACCGCCTCCTCCACCGCCCCCTCTAGCTCCACCCGCCCCCTTGCCCCCCTTGCCCTTGCCAGAGCGGCGTCTGCCGCTGGGGGCAGACGCCGCGCCGACCGACTCAAAACCAGCGAGGTCGGCCGCAGCGGCAGAGGCGACAGAGGGCAGCAGGGGGGAAGGACCACACCCCTCAAAGATGGGGGTGCGAGGGTCACCCCGAGAGGCCCCTACAGCGACAATACTCTTCTCAGCCGCTAGCAGGGACTCCTCAAGGAGGTCGACAGTGAGAGTGGTGGGACAGACAGAGAGAAACTGGTCCCTAACGACACGAAGGGACTCAGGGAGACGGGTGACGAGAAAGTAGAGAGTGATGTACATGGGAGGAGGGTTCGCAGCGCGGAACTCAGCAGGAAGGGCAGCACGGTAGCGGGTGTCACTAGCGCGGAGGTGGGTAACTAGGTCAGCAACAGTGGGAAAGGAAGCGAGGTCAGGGAAGAGAAACGGTAGCATGAGGCGGCTAAGGGTAGCGGAGGAAGGGGAGGAGTAGCGTGCAACTACAGCGTCGTACAAGGCCTGAGCGGTCTTGCACTGACTAAAGTGGGCACGCTCAGAGGAAGGGAGGTGGCGACGCACATCAAGACGTGCAGCAGCATCGCGGGTCGCCCACTTGGAGCGAGCAGCAGAGGCAGCATCAGCAGGCGGGGCAGGGACAGCGCCAGAGACAAAGTCAAAGAGAGAGACCTCATCTATCGCATCACACAGTAAGTACAGCTGCAGGTCTTCAATCCAGACGGCAAAGTCAATGGCCCTCCCCTCAGCGTCAAAAGTAAGAACATTGGGGGTGGCCATGGTAGCAGCTGAAAGTCTCACCGGGCTAGGAGAGTCGGGCAGGACAGCAGCAGGCAGCTCGGGCTGGGTCGGGCGGCTCGGGCGGCTCGGGCGGCTCGGGTAGCTCGGGTACCGGGCGGCTCGGCTGCTGCTGGGCGGCTCGGCTGCTGCTGGGCGGCGCGGCTGCTGCTGGGCGGCTCAGCTGCTGCTGGGCGGCTCGGCTGCTGCTGGGCGGCTCGGCTGCTGCTGGGCGGCTCAGCTGCTGGGCGGCTCAGCTGCTGCTGGGCGGCTCGGCTGCTGCTGGGCGGCTCGGCTGCTGCTGGGCGGCTCAGCTGCTGCTGGGCGGTTCGGCTGCGGCTGGGCGGCTCGGCTGCTGCTGGGCGGCTCGGCGGGGCCGTCAGGGTGCAGCTGCGGGGCCGGGACAGGGGACGGCGGGGCCGTCAGGGTGCAGCGGCGGGGCCGGGACAGGGGACGGCGGAGCCGTCAGGTGGCGGGCCAGCAGGCGAGGTGGCGAGCCGTCAGGTGAGGCGGCGGGGCCGTCAGGTCAGGTGGCGGGCCAGCAGGTGAGGCGGCGAGGCCGTCAGGTCAGGTGGCGGGCCAGCGGGTGAGGCGGCGGGCCGTCAGGTGAGGTGGCGGGCCAGCAGGTCAGGCGGCGGGCCGTCAGGTGAGGCGGCGGGGCCGTCAGGTCAGGTGGCGGGCCAGTAGGTGAGGCGGCGGGCCGTCAGGTGAGGCGGCGGGGCCGTCAGGTAAGGTGGCGGCGGGCCGTCAGGTGAGGCGGCGGGGCCGTCAGGTAAGGTGGCGGGCCAGCAGGTGAGACGGTGGGCCGTCAGGTGAGGCGGGGGGGGCCGTCTGGTGAGGTGGCGGGCCAGAAGTCGAGGCGGCGGGCCGTCAGGTGAGGCGGCGGCCGTCAGGTAAGGCGGCTGCGGGGCCGACAGAGGTGCAGCGGGGGGGGCCTGCTGCAGCGACGAAGAGGCCGCGCGGCCGTCTTGAGGGCGGCGCGGCAGAGCCGACAGGGCGGCGCGGCGCGACTGTAAGGGCCGCGCGAAGTGAGGCCTGGGCCGCGCGCGCGAAAAAAAAAAAATTTGAGTCGCGCGCGCGACTCTCGGGGCGCCACAAGGGCAGCTCGACGCGCACTAGGGGGAGCGCGCCTCGGGGAGAATAGGGCGCGCTCCGGGCAGGAAAAAAAAAAAATCGTGGGTGGGCCCAAAGAACGGTCCTTAGGAGGGACCCGCTCTATACCATGTGAAACTAACTGAACAGGAATGAATTGACTAAGTCAGAGTTGGGTACAAATACAACCCTAGCAAACTGTACCCCATATGTGCTACCCCACTATAGCCTACAAACATGCATCAGCTATAATAATCTGACACAGTACACATCAAATCTACGTAATATCATTGTAGGCATGCGTAGAGGTCGACATGCCTAGAGATACAATAAACCCTATGACTGCTAAATGAACGGAACGCACAGTGTTATATAGATACATAGGCAAAACGCCGGTAGTGAACGTCTCTCGATTTTATTAATATAGTTTTATATTAATAAAACAGATCGCACACACATTCGAGCACCACATATGCGCGCTCATATAGGTAAATGCGCGGTTTTATATGAGTGCGATCTTACCTGACCGCGCCTGATTGGACGCGCAATGTAAAAAAGTACTATGCGCATAAAGTCGACCAATCAGACGCGCTCTGTAATTGGTCGCGCGTGTGGACAGTCGTCCAACTGAGTATATGATCGGGGATTCATATCTCTATGCGCGGATTGGTCAAGAATTGGACCGAAAATGAGCGCGAATGTTCGCCCAAGATGATCGTGTTGATTATTGTCGTGTATTCGAACGGTGACGTGGCCGCCCTCGCGCACGTCACCCAGCCGAAAATTTTCGGGCGGAAAATCACACGCCACGTTTTTGCAGGAAGAGACACGAACGACGTAAGAAAAGCAGGGCTAAAAACCGGTTTTGGGTAATGTGCCGGATAAAAAAAAAGCCAGAGGAAACCTCTGGCAAGACGAGGAAACCTCTGGCAAGACCACTCGAGCAATTATCATCGAATTGTCCGACCACGGTAGCAATTCGAGGCCACGTGTGCAACGGCAAATCACCGTTTCCGGGTCTGGAGAAATTCTCTCGGAAGATTGGTTTCTCAATTTTGGCAAACAATGCTCGCCCCATCATACCAGAGCTCTCACAACCCAACTTCAGGGTAAAATGGGGTGAATTCGGCAGTGACGAGTGGAACTCATGGCTTTCAGTGCTTATACCGTGGCGGCTTGTACCAGTGCACCGAATCACACGATAACGCGACTCAACAACCAGCCATGTTCTGCCGCCGTTCGCGCCGCCGCCTCCCCGCCTACCGCCTTTCCCCGCCACACCGCGCTTCCGCTCGCTCTCCCCTCCACTCCTTCGCGCCATGATACGCGCCGTGTTCCGCGGCGAGATTTGCGACTCGTCTCGCTCTCGGGTTCAAGGAGTTGGACGGTGCGATCCCGCTCTGACGTTCCTCGAAACGGCCGCGTGATATTCCTCAGCGCGCCCCGGAATTCACGCCGCCTAAAGTTTAGCGCGACTAGTATCAGCTGTCGCCACTGGCTCTTCGCGGACGCGCTTGTAACAAGTTCCGTCGCGCGGGGGAAAGCGCTGCCAATCCGCGCGGAGGACGCGCGGGCGGAGAGACTTGTGGGGAATGCGGAGAAGGACCCGCGCGGGGATGCGGAGGAGGGCGCGCGGGGAGCGCTGCGGAGAGACATGTTTCCGCCCGGGTTTCTGTTTGGCACCGCCACTGCCGCCTACCAGGTGCGGGGGTCAGGGGGAAGCATGAGGGGGGAGAGGAGGGAGCGCAGGCAACGGTGGAGTAGTGGGGGAAGGAGAGGGAAGGAGGGATGGCGGAAGGGCATGAGGCCAGACGTGTTGGTAATTTGCTGGGCCCACGGCTGGTTACCCTAGACCATAAACACACGCATGCTCCTCTGGCTGCTTGCATGGGAGGGGGCAGGTTCTGGCAAGTCGATGACACTTGGTCGCATGGGGCCGTGAGGTGAGTGCACGCATGACAGGAACGTCCCTGTGCCCACCACACCTTATGCTTAGCTGCGCGCCTTCTCCCCCATCTTCCCCTGGGTGCGCAGGTGGAGGGGGCAGCGCGGGAAGGAGGGCGAGGAGCCAGCATCTGGGACGTGTTCGCCCACACGCCAGGTGCGGTAGCAGGGCAGGTGCGGTAGCAGGGCAGGTGCGGTAGCAGGGCAGGTGCGGTAGCAGGGCAGGTGCGGTAGCAGGGCAGGTGCGGTAGCAGGGCAGGTGCAGTAGCAGGTCAGGTGCAGTAGCAGGTCAGGTGCGGTAGCAGGGTAGGTGCGGTAGCAGGTCAGGTGCGGTAGCAGGTCAGGTGCGGTAGCAGGTCAGGTGCGGTAGCAGGTCAGGTGCGGTAGCAGGTCAGGTGCGGTAGCAGGGCAGGTGCGGTAGCAGGTCAGGTGCGGAAGCAGGTCAGGTGCGGTAGCAGGTCAGGTGCGGTAGCAGGTCAGGTGCGGTAGCAGGGCAGGTGCGGTAGCAGGTCAGGTGCGGTAGCAGGGCAGGTGCGGTAGCCGGTCAGGTGCGGTAGCAGGGCAGGTGCGGTAGCAGGGCAGGTGCGGTAGCAGGTCAGGTGCGGTAGCAGGGCAGGTGCGGTAGCAGGGCAGGTGCAGTAGCAGGTCAGGTGCGGTAGCAGGTCAGGTGCGGTAGCAGGGCAGGTGCGGTAGCAGGTCAGGTGCGGTAGCAGGTCAGGTGCGGTAGCAGGGCAGGTGCGGTAGCAGGTCAGGTGCGGTAGCAGGTCAGGTGCGGTAGCAGGTCAGGTGCGGTAGCAGGTCAGGTGCGGTAGCAGGTCAGGTGCGGTAGCAGGTCAGGTGCGGTAGCAGGTCAGGTGCGGTAGCAGGGCAGGTGCGGTAGCAGGTCAGGTGCGGAAGCAGGTCAGGTGCGGTAGCAGGTCAGGTGCGGTAGCAGGTCAGGTGCGGTAGCAGGGCAGGTGCGGTAGCAGGTCAGGTGCGGTAGCAGGGCAGGTGCGGTAGCCGGTCAGGTGCGGTAGCAGGGCAGGTGCGGTAGCAGGGCAGGTGCGGTAGCAGGTCAGGTGCGGTAGCAGGGCAGGTGCGGTAGCAGGGCAGGTGCGGTAGCAGGTCAGGTGCGGTAGCAGGTCAGGTGCGGTAGCAGGGCAGGTGCGGTAGCAGGTCAGGTGCGGTAGCAGGTCAGGTGCGGTAGCAGGTCAGGTGCGGTAGCAGGTCAGGTGCGGTAGCAGGGCAGGTGCGGTAGCAGGTCAGGTGCGGTAGCAGGTCAGGTGCGGTAGCAGGCCAGGTGCGGTAGCAGGTGCGGTAGCAGGTCAGGTGTGGTAGCAGGGCAGGTGCGGTAGCAGGGCAGGTGCGGTATCAGGTCAGGTGCGGTAGCAGGGCAGGTGCGGTAGCAGGTCAGGTGCGGTAGCGGGGCAGGTGCGGTAGCAGGTCAGGTGCGGTAGCAGGGCAGGTGCGGTAGCAGGTCAGGTGCAGTAGCAGGTCAGGTGCGGTAGCAGGGCAGGTGCGGTAGCAGGTCAGGTGCGGTAGCAGGTCAGGTGCGGTAGCAGGTCAGGTGCGGTAGCAGGGCAGGTGCGGTAGCAGGTCAGGTGCGGTAGCAGGTCAGGTGCGGTAGCAGGTCAGGTGCGGTAGCAGGTCAGGTGCGGTAGCAGGTCAGGTGCGGTAGCAGGGCAGGTGCGGTAGCAGGTCAGGTGCGGTAGCAGGGCAGGTGCGGTAGCAGGTCAGGTGCGGTAGCAGGTCAGGTGCGGTAGCAGGTCAGGTCAGGTGCGGTAGCAGGGCAGGTGCGGTAGCAGGGCAGGTGCGGTAGCAGGTCAGGTGCGGTAGCAGGGCAGGTGCGGTAGCAGGTCAGGTGCGGTAGCAGGTCAGGTGCGGTAGCAGGTCAGGTGCGGTAGCAGGTCAGGTGCTGTACATGTTGCAATGCAGCAGACTCTTGCAAGTGTGCACGAACAGTACGGCACACACTAAGACAAAAGATGCACTAATGGCACAGAGGTCCAATGGGCACGTGTACTTACATTAGCCTGATCGCGCGTGCATGAGTGGGCTTTGAGTGAGCATGTGTGAGCATGTTCGAGGATATGTGAGCATGTTCGAGCATATGTGAGCATGTTCGAGCATATGTGAGCATGTTCGGGCATATGTGAGCATGTTCGGGCATGTGTGAGTACACACTCATCCCATTTAATGCTTGTTTGCTCCAAACCGGTGTGCTGCCAACTCTGTGTGGTACAGGAAGGACACACAACGGGGACACAGGTGACGTGGCGTGCGATCAATACCACCGATACGAGGTGCGTGCCATGCCCCCCCACCTCCACCCAATCAGCTCCACCCCACCAGCACCCTCCTGCACCGCTGTATCTCCCTGCTGCATGTTCCAAGCACCAGTCCCCAAGGCGTGTTCACTACTGGGCATGGCCAGCCAGTCACCGCGCAGACCTCAAACCTCACTGTAACACGGCGTGCAGGAGGATGTGGGGCTAATGAGGCACTTAAGCCTACCATCAGGTAGCCGCACCTCCCTTGTATGCCCCCCTCCATTGCCCCGTGTGCTCCACGCTCCACATCCATCCCCTCCTTTCCCTGCCTGCCCTCGAGCATGCAGGAGGACGTGGCACTGATGAGGCATTTGGGCTTCTCAGCCTACCGCTTCTCCATCAGCTGGTCGCGCATCCTCCCGTGTGCGTCTGCTTTCCTCGCCTTGTGCACTCCACAGCACACTCCGTGCGAGGCGGATGAAAAATTGTCCTGTCGGAGAGCATGTCTTGCACACTCCAGGAAGCATCTCGTTCCCGTGCGTGCTGTTGTCTTTCTCTAGCTGCAAGACCGTGAGCATCTAAGCCTCCGCTTCATACCCGCTTTCACGAGTCTCTGATCTTTGCAAACAACACAAGGTGTTCGGTTAAGTCAGTTATTACAACCAGCTGCACTTCTCCTGCCTATACCCTGCCTATACCCTTCCATTCTGTTTCTCTCTATTTTTTTTTTTAATGGGCTCACAGCGGGGCGGCAGCCAGTGAACCAGGAGGGCGTGGAGTATTACAACCGCCTCATTGACTGCTTGCTCCGTAATGGTCAGCCACCTATTTCGACCGCTCTTCACCTCATTGCACTATCTTGCACAGCTCTGCATCTCTCCTTCTCTTCGTCCTTCGTATCTGAAGCTCAGCACGTCAGCAGAGAGGTGATTGGGTTAGCAAAGCATCATAATTACCATGAGCCATGAGGGAGTGAATCACTACTGACCTCTCAATACAGAGAAGGTGGGGTTGGTTCTATGAGAAGGTGCAGTAGCGTGGCTGCAGGTGCTTGTTTTAGTCAACAAGAATGTCACTTGAGCACTCTCCTTGATGCTTCTGCTGCCTCCATCCTCCTCCCTCTTTGTATCTCCCACCCTTTCCCCCCATTCCCCCTTGTGGAGGCATCACATCCCCCATTCCCACCTCCCATCCCCACGCCCCATCCCCACGTCCATCCCCCTTGTGAGCCAAGTGTGACTCTCTCATTGTAACTCCCACCCCACCCACCCCCTTTTCCCCCGTGCGCAGGCATCACGCCGTGTGTGACGCTCTTCCACTGGGACCTGCCGCAGGCACTGGAGGAGGAGTTTGGCGGATTCAGAGGCGAGGCCATCGTGTGAGTCACCGTGAGTGTGCATGCGAGTGTGCATGCGAGTGTGCATGCGAGTGTGCATGCGTGTGAGTGTGTGCATGTGAGTGTGTGCATGTGAGTGTGTGCATGTGAGTGTGTGCATGTGAGTGTGCATGTGAGTGTGCATGTGAGTGTGTGCATGTGAGTGCATGTGAGTGTGCATGTGAGTGTGCATGTGAGTGTGTGCATGTGAGTGTGTGCATGTGAGTGTGCATGTGAGTGTGTGCATGTGAGTGTGCATGTGAGTGTGCATGTGAGTGTGCATGTGAGTGTGCATGTGAGTGTGTGCATGTGAGTGTGCATGTGAGTGTGCATGTGAGTGTGCATGTGAGTGTGCATGTGAGTGTGCATGTTAGTGTGCATGTGGTGATTGTTGGATCATATCTCCTCCTATCCTCCTCCTTCCCTCACCAACTGTTGCCCAACTGTTGGCCCTGCCTTACCACCCCCAAGCCCCGCACTTAGGGAATTATGTCTCAGCATTATGTCTCCCACTTTAGCAGTTGCGCCTCCCTGTGGCTCTGAACAATCTCTGCACCTTCGCCACCAAGGGCTAGGCAGTGGGGGACTTTGCGCCCACCTGTCCCCTCTTCTCCCTCACCCACACCCTGGCCTCTCCCTTTGCGATTTGTGCTCAACTGTTACCCCCTCCTCTTCTCCCCTTCCAGTGGTGCATTTCAGGACTACGCGCACCTCTGCTTCTCTCTCTTGGGCGACAGAGTGCCCTACTGGCTCACCTTCAACGAGCCCTACACCTTTGCCACCAAGGGCTATGCCGTGGCAAACTTTGCTCACAACTGTTGCCCCCTCCCCTCCCCTCCCTTCCTCCTTCCAGTGGTGCGTTCTGGGAGTACGCCTCACTCTGCTTCTCCCTGTTCGGAGACAGGGTCTCTCACTGGCTAACCTTCAACGAGCCCTACACCTTCGCCACCAAGGGCTACGCCTTGGGTAACTTTGCACTCAACTTTTGTCCCTGCCTCTCCGCTCCCCGCCTCCAGTGGTGCATTCAGGGAATATGCACGGCTCTGCTTCTCTCTCTTGGGCGACAGAGTGCCCTACTGGCTCACCTTCAACGAGCCCTACACCTTTGCCCTCAAGGGCTACGCCGTGGGGGACTTTGCGCCCGGGCGCTGCTCCGACCGGCAGTGCTGTGCGGAGGGCGATGGGGCGGTGGAGCCGTATGTGGTGGTGCACCACATGCTGCTGGCTCACGCTGCTGCTGTGGACTGTTATAGGAGGGAATTCGAGGTATGAACTAGTGTCTGCTGCTACTGCTGCCGATAGCTACTGTTTGGCGGGTCGAAGGCTTCTGGTGCTGACTGGTACCGGAGAGAGCTTCAGACAAGTAGGTCTGAGACTGCTGGTGCTGGTAGGGATGGCGATGGGGCGGTGGAGCCGTATGTATGTGGTGCTGCATCACATGCTGCTGGCGCGTGCTGCTGCTGATTGCTGTAGGAGCGAGTTCCAGGTGGGTGCGTAGGTCGGGGGATGCTGCTGCTGCTGCTGCTAACTGCTACAGGAGAGATAAAGGTTCAATTCAAGTAGGTGTGCCGGTTGCTGCTGGTAGAGAGGGCGATGGAGCAGTGGAGCCGTATGCGGTGGTGCATCACACGCTGCTGCTGCTGCCGCCGCCGCCGCCGCCACCGCCGCCGCCGTCGCCGCTGCTGCTGCTGCTGACTGGTAGGTGGGATGACGAGGGAGTATTCAGGCAGGTGTGTCGGGTGCTGCTGCTGCTGCTGTTAAAGGGGGGCTCGTGGGGCGGTGGAGCCTTACTCTGCATCACACGTTGCTGCTGTGGAGTGCTACAGGAGGGACTTAGTGGGTCGATTGCTGCTGCGGAAGTTAGCAGGAACGACTCTCTAAACTGGTGGGGTGGGTAAGGGGCTGCTGCTGATCGGGTGCTCGACAAGAAGATGTTGTGGCGATGGGTGAGTCACACACCTAATGATGCCTATTTGCCCTCCCGATTTAACCTCTAGTGGCGAAGCCCTATACCTAAAGCACTGGAAGAATCTGTTTGTTGCTTGTCTCCCATTTGACCAATCCCTCCATTCCCTCTTGTCCCCTCACCCAGCCACCCCTCTCCCACTGTCCCTTGCTCCCTCCTCCAATTCGTCCTTCTCCACTGCTTCCAACGCCCCATCGTCCACCAGTTATTAGTTGACTTTAAAGTCACCAAATTGTTCAGGTTTGTTTTGTGGCTCTCAAATTGCGTCTTTTCCCCCTCCATACCTTATCTCTCTCCCACCAGCCACAGCAGGGGGGGCAAATCGGCATTGCGGTGGACAGCGAATGGGCGGAGCCTTTCTCTCAGCACCCAGATGACGTGGCAGCTGCTGATAGGCGCATGCAGTTCAACCTCGGATGGTGGGTGGCTGCGCTTGTCTTTTTTCCACCCTCCTGCGAATATGCTTCCTTTCAGACAGCTTGCGTACCATTGCTTGCTTGCCTGCATGACTAATGTTCGAGGTGTCTCAAAATGTGTTCCGTGTTTCAATGTGCTCGGAAAGTGCGTGCATGACTGATTGTTCAGCCAGGCTGCTCATCACCATCTCTCACAACCCTCCTTTCCCCATCCCTCCTTCGCCATTCCTCCATTTCCCCATTCCCCGTTCCCCTGTCCTCTCTCCGCAATCTTCCGCGCCCTCAGGCTGCTGCACCCCATATTCTTTGGCGCCTATCCACCCGCCATGCGCCACTACGTGGGCCCCCGCCTGCCCTCCTTCTCCCCCTTACAAGCTGCCTCGCTTAAAGGCAGTGTGGACTTTGTGGGGCTCAACCACTACACGTCCAGATACATTGCACATGCAGATGCGCGAGAGGGGGGCGAGAAAGGCAGGCTGTGGAGCTACTTTGATGATCAGCATGTTACTGTTCATGGTGTGAGCATCACTCTGTGTTGCTTCTTTGTGTCTGTTCTCCCCGTACTCTCATTGCCTTCCTTTTTCCTTTGCATTGTTCATCCTCCATTTTCTCCTTAATCTTCTATTGTGCTGCGCTCTCGTGTCTCTCTGTCTCTACCTGTGCATGCGCTCCCCTTCCATGCATGCATGCATCACACAACTCATGGCATGTCTACGTGATGCTCCCACATGCCATCACCACCTTTCGCACACGTTTCTCTGCCTGTGTGCGTGTTCCCCTTCCATGCATGCATGCATCGTACAACTCATGGCATGTCCACATGATGCTCCTCCATGCCGTTCCTCTACTCTGCATTCTTCCACACGTGGCACTCCAATCAATCACATGGCAGTTGAACGTGATGGCCGCCTGATTGGCCAGCAGGTGACTCAAACCCCTCTGCTCTGCTCTCCTCTGCTCTGTTCTCCTCTCCTCTCCCCTCTCCTCTCCTCTCCTCCCCTCTCCTCTCCCCTCCCCTACCCTCATTCCCTCGCCTCCCCTCGCCTCCCCTCCTCCCCTCCCCTCCCCTCCCTTCTCCTCCCCTCCCCTCCCCTCCCCTCCCCTCCCCTACCTACCCCCCCCTCTCCTCTCCTGACCTCTCCTCCCCTCCCCTCCCCTCTCCTCTCCCCTCCCCTCCTCTCCTCATCTCTCATCTCCTCTCCTCTCCTCTCCTCTCCTCCTCTCCTCCGTCTCCTCCCGGCTCCTCATTCTTAAAGCCCCTGAATTCTGTTGAAAAGGCACGTTGTTTCTCGCCTCCCTTTTACTTGGATCAGCTCTGTCATCAACCTTTAACCCTAGACCCTCATAAATGCACCCTGCTCTCCACCAATGTGTTCTCATGCCGATGTCGATCGCTCAGTTCCGCCCACACCTCCCATCCTGCACCCGTGTCCCATCTCTCCGCTGCTTTCCTTCCTGAACGCGCTTCACCAGCTACACATGGCTTCACGCCATGTGCACCCACCTGTTCCCCCCTCTACCCCGATGCACGCGCGCCAACCTATCACCTGCAGTCTGCATCGCCATGGCCGTACGAGTTGAGGTGCTGAGAGCACTTCACAACCTGCTCACCCCCTTTCTTCCCCCTTCCCTCTCACCATGCACGCCTCCCAACTTACATCACACCAGGCGGCGTCCCCATGGCTGTACGAGGTGCCGTGGGGCTTCCAGAAGCTGCTCATGCACATCACCACCACATACGGGGCACCACCCATCTACATCACAGAGAATGGTAATGGAGGGGCCTGGGGGCACATAATGTGCGTGCAGTGTTAATTCCATCGCAATTGCCGTGCATGTTCACCAAATTCTCCTTTTTAAGGATTAGGGAGGCGCCGAAGGTCGCCTTGCTGTGTGGATCTTGTTCCGTCTTGTCCCATCCTTGTCGCTTCTCTCTGCTTCATCGCTCAACCACCAGCCTGCACATACCTCCCTTCGTTTGCCTCACACCACCGCCACTGAGGTCCCCTGTCACCTCAGAATGATATTTTTTCATGTCTCGCTTGAGCCCTCATCCCCCCATCTGCAAGGCCCAATGAGGATAATGAGTGAGTGTGAGCCACACAATCCAACCCTCTCTGGCTCACACCTTTCCACTCCTCCCTTCCGACCTTCAACCTATCCCCACCCTCCTTCACACCGCGACACCTTCACACATCCCTGCAGGTCTAGATGAAGGGGACGACCCATCGCTGCCGCTGCACGTGGCCACCAGTGACCCGCACCGCATCCGCTACTACCACGCGTACCTCTCGCATCTTCTCCGCGCAATAAGGTGAGTCGGGCTGCGGTTAGCAAGCGGTTTTGGTGTAGTCACTGTCTCTCCTCCGCCCTGCACGCTGGCCACCAGTGACCTGCATCGTATCCGCTTCTACCACGCGTAAAACCCTAAGCCCTCCTCCGGACCATGAGGTACGTTTGACTTGCACACTACCAAGCGTATAATTCACAGCCCCCCCTCCCGCGCTACACACTGTCACAAGCATCTCTACTACCACGCGTCCCTTTCTCACCTCCTGAGCGCCATCGGGTACATTTGACTTGCGTTATCGTCCCTGGCCCCCCTCCGCTGTGCACATTGCCATGAGCGATTCACGAGGCCTCGCGTGCCATCAAGTGCCTCTCGTACCTTCTCAGCGCCATCAGGTGAGACATGAGCGCCTTCTCTCTCACCACACGAGTCAGACTGGTGTTCACACGTGATGGTACCGTACCGCATCTGCCCCTAGCATGCGTGCCTTTTGCGCCTCCTCAGCACAATCAGGCGAGTCCTACTGGCGTAGCCACAGCCGTGGCACCTGTTTTTCGGTCTCATGCATCTTGCTGCCCCATGGCTGTCTGCCACTGCCGCCACATGTGTCGGAGTTTGTGACTTCTCAAGTGTGGGAGTGAGCATGATTCATCAAGGACACATGCAGTGCAGCTATGGTGGTGAGAGTCACGTAGTTATGACAGCTGGGCACTTGGCAAGCCAATGGTAAGTTGATGCTTTATTTCCAAATCAGAAATAGCTACCACAGGCATTGCATGAAGGGAGGAAGTGGGGAAGTGTATTGAGGTTCCACTGTCCATGTGAGGGATAGGCTGAGAAACAGCAAGTTGAGACTCTCTTGCTCGCTCATGTAGTTGGCTTTTGAGGTGCTCGCTCATGTAGTTGACTTTTGAGGTGCTCGCTCATGTAGTTGGCTTTTGAGGTGCTCGCTCATGTAGTTGGCTTTTGAGGTGCTCGCTGCCATGTCATGGCATCAGTTGCCATGGCATCGCTTCTCAAACCTCCCCATGCATCCTGACATCATTGCTGTGTCCTCACTGCATCCCACTTATGCCGGCGTCGTCAGACACAAGCTGACATCATCAGACACAAGCTGACATCATCAACGCATGCTGACGTCACCAGGCGCATGCTGACATGCATTCATCCCCTAACATCTCACCCCTCTCCTTCCACGCACGCATTGCAGGCAAGGGGCGGATGTGCGGGGGTACATGGCATGGTCGTGGATGGACAACTTCGAGTGGCAGATGGGGAACTCGCGCCGCTTTGGCCTCGTGCATGTGGACCGCACCCGTGGGTTGAAAAGAACACCCAAAGCGTCTGCGCTCTGGTGGCAGGGGCTTTTATCGGGGATGCTTGTGTATGATTCATAGACGCATGGATTTGTGTGTGCACAAACCTGACACTCACGAATGTGCTAGGCAGAATTGAGATGCAAACCGAATGTCCGTCTGCTTCTAAGTATTTCTGGAATGGTTACCAAGTGTAATCGGGTAACAAGTTCTTTCAAGTGGATGTATGGCAAAATGTTTTTTGGGTTGTGAAGCAACCTATTACGATCGATTTGGCATGTTTTTTTTTCACATTTTATATTTATTTAAAATAAAATGTGGAAAAAAAAGCTGGGTGCTCTAATCGCTACCTACGTGAGTGTAGGAGGTCCTCCTGTCTAGTTCAATTATATTAAAGTGATAGTTATTTCTTTTGGATAACTAGGTTGTTTCTGTGATTTACCACCGGATATTATTTATATGAGATTGTTACGACTGCAATTGAGTGAACGAACGAGAATTGCATTATCGAAGCAAGAGTACAATGAGCGAAGGCATGAGCAAAGAATATATAGCGAAACTACAGTGGTAACGGTAATGGACCGTGGTTGTCGCACGACAGGCCTGGGACTGAGGTTGGGAAAAAGTGTCGAAGCGGAGGCCCGGAGTGCGGGTTACCCGCCGAGCCGTGAGGTCGGGGTGCGATATGCGAAGGTGGCGGGCGGATTGTCAATGCGAAGGTTGCGAGTGGTAACGGTGCTGACTGTGGTGCTACAGTGATGTACGCGTTGAGCAGGGATGCGAAGTAAGGAAAAGGAATTTTCCTTACACTGACCCCCCCCCTAAGGAGGTCCTCCTTACGAAAGTGCGTGTACATCCCTGAAATTTCGGCTGCGCAGATACTCGGTGAGGACGGGGTGGTTTTTGATTCTGTCCAGGGGAACCCAATTGTCTTCGGTGGGTGTACGGTCCTTCCAGCGGAGTAAGAACTCGATCCTTCGGGCTCCTCGAGGGTCGCGAACTCTGTGACTCGGGATTTTCTCGGGGGTGATGATTGGTTCAGTTGGTGGTCTTCTCATGCTGGCTGGGCGATTGCGTGGCAGTTGGCTCGTGGACGGGACGTAAGGGCGAAGTAGGCTGACGTGGAATGAGGGGCTGACGTACCAGTCAGGTGCGGCTCTTTGAGGCCCCTCGCGGCCCCTTTGCGGCCCCGTCGCCGCCCCTTGCGGCCCCGTCGCCGCCCCTTCCGGCCCCTTCACCGCCGAGCCGCCACGCAGCCGCACCGCCGAGCTGCCGAGCCGCCGAGCCGCCGAGCAGCCGAGCCGCCGAACCGCCGAGCCGCCGAGCCGCCGAACCGCCGAGCCGCCGAGCCGCCAAGCAGCCAAGCCGCCGAGGCCGCCGTCGAGCCGCCACTACCGAGCCGCTGCCGCCGAGCCACTGCCGAGCCGCTTCCACCGCGGTTGCAGCCCTGTTCCTACCGGCGCGCCCCGGCCCTACCCACGCGGACTAGTTAGAGCACTACCTGCTAAACCACTGCTGTCATGGCTACCCCCAGTGTCCTTACCTTTGATGCTGAGGGTCGTGCTGTTGACTTCGAGGTCTGGGTCGATGACCTACAGCTCTTCCTACAGTGCGTTAGGGCAGACGGACTCTCCCTGTTCGATCTCACCTCTGGTGCCTCTCCTGCCCCGCCTGCTGATGCTGACAGCACTGTTCGCTCACAGTGGGCGACACGCGATGCTGCTGCCCGTCTTGCTGTGCGTCGCCACTTACCGACCGCTGAGCGTGCACACTTTAGTCAGTACAAGAGTGCTAGGACCTTGTACGACGCTGTAGTTGCACGCTACTCTTCCCTTGCCACTGCTGCCCTTAGCCGCCTCATGCTGCCGTACCTGTTCCCTGACCTCGCCGCCTTTCCCACACTCGCTGACCTCATTACGCACCTTTGCACTAGTGACACCCGCTACCGCGCTGCGCTTCCTACTGAGTTCTGTGCCAAGAACCCTCCCCCCATGTATATCACCCTCTACTACATAGTCACCCGGCTCCCTCACTCCCTTCGCTTAGTCAGGGACCACTTCCTCTCAGTTTGCCCCACCACACTTACCGTTGACCTCCTCGAGCAGCGCCTCCTGGCAGCAGAGAAGAGCATAGTCGCTGTAGGAGCCTCTCATGGTGACCCTCGTACCCCCGTCTTTGAGGGGTATTCCCCCTCCCCCCTCTTGCCCTCTGTTGCTTCTGCTGCTGCGGCCGACCTCGTTGGTTTCGAGTCGGTCTGAGCTGCGTCTGCCCCTAGTGGGAGACACCGCACCGGCAAGGGCAAGGGGGGCAAGGGCGCTGGAGGGGCTGGCGGGGGCGGAAGAGGTGGCGGTGGAGGAAGTGGAGGGGGTGGGGGTGGTGGTGGGAGTGGTGGCGGGGGTGGAGATGTCGGTGGCACCAGTGGAGGCGGTGGAGGCGGCGGCGGTGGCGGTGGGAGCGGAGGCGGCGGAGGTGGCAGCGGCGGCAGCGCTGGAGCTGGTCGCGGCTCTGCGCAGAGGAGTAGCTCCGGTGGTGGTCCGCGCCAGCTGCAGCAGCGCACTCGTGAGACCCCGTCCCCCAAGCAGCTTCGTGAGTGGTACGCTGGGCGTTAGCGAGGTGGGGGTACTGGTCCCTGTACCTACGTCCTCTGTACCGGCGACTTCGCTGGTGAGCAGTGCGGGGGCTCGCACTCCACCCAGCGCTGCTTCGGCCGCCTGACGGATGCTTGCCGTCTCCAGTTCCCTGACGCCACTGAGATCCCTCGCTAGGGAGAGCTGTCTAGGGCGGGGGTTGCTATCTTTGATCTTGATTATGATGCTATTCTTGCTGCCATGTATGCTGTGTCTACTAGTGATGAGGGTGACTGTTACTTATGTGTTCCGCCTGACCCGTTCATTGAGGCTACTTCTCTAGGTGCTTGTGAGAGTACGACGGCTTATGCCAGCTATGCTTGCTTGCCTTTACTTTATTATGCTATTTCTAGCATAGGATAATTATATGCATGAATTGCTTGATTTCCTAGGCTAGGTGCTTTCCTATATTTTATTATAGTTATAGCACCGAGCTAGGTTGCGTGCACCGAATTCTGGCTTTTCAGTTGCCACCGAATTGCTTTCTACCGAATTCGGTAAGGATTTGTTCGGGACACTTCGCGACCCGCGGAACCTTCGCGTAACACCTGGTTACGGGGCCTTGTGTCGAGCCTATATATAGCCTCGTGTTGTACCCAGGTGGACATTCAATTCAATTCAATTTTAATCATCTTTTCTGAGCTCGATCCCAAATCCTCACACTTGGTAATCAGAGCGGGTTTACACGCGAGGACTTCAACTGCTTAGTTCCGGCCTTTAAAAACCGCGGGGGCGACGACGCAAGGGCCGATACGGGTATGTAAAACCAGTTCCGCGCAATTTTTCTAAGTCCCCCTCGATTCGGTTTTCGAACACCCCTCAGATTTACTGGTGGAAAGGTTGGAGTTTCGACCGTTCGATCGAGTTTCATCTCAACGGCCCAGAGAATTTCGCCCAAAAAAGTTGGAATTTGGAACGTCGGATTGATTTTCTCCTCAACAACCAAGATCGAACGCGAATTTCGCCTGAGGGAGACTTACGCAACCTACAGAATTCGCGCTCGTCGATTCTACAGTCAATTTGACTCGCAGTAAGTCGACCAGCACCTAGAATTCGATTATTTTCGTCGCGCATCTTCCTGTAAATCACCAAATGGAGGAAAAAAGAGATATTTCAGTACAGAAAATCGCGGAGTTACGTGCTGAGCATAAGCAAATACGTGCAGCGCTCCCACGACTCGAAAAACTCCTTGCGAACCAGTCGGCAACCGCCACAGCAGCAGCGACAACGGTAGGAGCAACAGCAGCGGCAACACCGACAATTCTACATGCGACAACGGCAGCAGCTACAGTTAACCTCGAAGCAGTGAAGCTGAGGCTAACGGAGGCGTTCGATCCTACAGTAAAAATGAACGACGTTCGTCGATTTGTAGCTGAACTCGAAATTTACTTCGAAGCCGTTAAATGCACGACCCCGACAAAAGACGCAATGCGCATACGGCTCGCAGCAACACTGTTACGAGGCCCAGCTCTAGAGTGGATCAACAACAGAATAGTCCAAGGCGAGGGAACGTGGGCGCAAGTTCCGGCAGCACTGATCGAACAGTTCGACACGTTGAATAGTAGCTACTACGGAACACGACGCAACAAGCCAACTAGTGGCATGGGGCGATTGGCACCACCCACGACTGCCGACCCGATGGAGAACGACGAGGGCGATGTGGAGCAGCGGCTAGCAAATAATGAGACGTACAAATTTTGCGGCGCTACAGGACATCGTATCTTGGCGTGTTGGACAATGGAGAGAAGGTGTGCGGAGCTGAAGGACAAGAACAGTGCGGCACCCCCGAAGCAGAAAACGGACAACGTGGCAACTTCGGAGAGGGCGAAAAAAGGAGAATATGGTGGCGCAAATTTAAAATGTCACGACCAGCCGGCACCAGGGGAAATCGCCGAGACTGATGGAGGATCCGCGAAACAAGACCCTGCACCGACCGGGAAACTCCAGCCGTATACCCCGACAAGTAAGAATATTACTTCTCGTGGGTTTCAAGCCTTTATTAAGGGAGAGTCAGAAATTAAACCGGTACTGGGTATTATGGGGACCCTACTCCAGAGCGCTAATACGGGTCGAGCGTTCCGAGGAGTTAATATTCTCTCCCAGCAGCACTGTTTAAAGGCTCCCTGCTCCCCACAGATGAAGCCTACACAGCTGCAAAGGCTTATTGGAAGGCTCCAGGCCCAAGAGAAGCCGAATCGGCCTCGGATAAATCCTTCTAACCTTTCTCAGTTGAAAACTGATACTGAAGCTCCATCTTTGAGCGCAGGACCTAGGGATAACATATTCGACGTACCCTACGATCCTATAAGCGATACCATCTACGGATACTCGGAGCAGCAGCAACCACTAGTACTCGAGGTGATCTGCAACGGGCGTCGCCTCCAGGCCTTGGTGGACAGTGGTGCGTCCCACTCGGTGTGCGACCGCGAGACGTTGGAGAAAATTGGAGAATCCTAAGAAGAAACCCAGTTTACAGTAACGATGGTGAACGGTACGAAGCTTCCCATCCACGGAAAGTCAACACTGCAACTGCAGATAGGGGCGTTGAGGTGGAAGCCGACGTTGCCGATCACGAACATCAAGGGATTAGATTTTATCTTTGGGCAAGATTTTCTGAAGCAGTTCAACCCCGAGATCGATTGGGTCAACAGCAAGGTGTGCATCTACAACAACGGGAAACGAGTGGAGCTGTGAAGCTTGACGGATACAGGGAGCGTTCCTGAAACGACACTGGCACGGTTCGAACGGACAGTGAACGAGAGTAACACGGGTTACTTCGCACTGGTTATAGCACCAGTAGAGAAGGAGGTCTTGGAGCAGTACAAGGATATAATGCCCGACGACCTACCCACGGGCGTATCTCCAGCACGCACCCACCAGCACAAGATCGTGGAGGAACCAGGTGCGAAACCCGTCTCACGTGCACCATACCGACTGAGTCCAACTGAAGTGACAAACATGAAAAACAGATAGAGTATCTACTAGACAGACAACTGATCCGCCCATCCACCTCTCCCTACGGTGCACCAGTTCTCTTCACTCCAAAGCCAGACGGTAGTTTACGGATGTGCATCGACTACCGCGCACTGAACAAACAGACAGTCAAAAACAAATATCCCATACCGCGCATAGACGACCTACTCGATCAACTGCGTGGAGCAACAGTCTTTTCGAAGCTCGACCTACGATCGGGCTACTGGCAGATCAAGATAGCAGACAACTCCGTCCACAAGACAGCGTTCCGTACCAGATACGGCTCCTACGAATACTTGGTGATGCCGTTCGGACTCTGCAACGCACCAGCAACGTTTCAGGCGGAGATGAATCACATCTTACGACCCCTGCTGGACGAATGCGTGGTGGTGTACCTGGACGACATTCTCATCTACTCCAAGAACATGAAGGAGCACGTGGAGCATCTGCGGAAGGTGTTCGAGATTTTGCGGAAAAACAAGTTCTACGTGAAGCTGTCAAAGAGCGACTTCGCCCTGAAGAAGGTGCAGTTTCTCGGGCACATGGTGAGTGCCGAGGGCGTACACGTGGACCCACGGAAGATCGAAGCCATCAAGAAGTGGAAAGTACCAGAGAACGTGAAGGAGTTACAACAGTTCCTAGGCTTCGCCAACTACTACAACAGGTTCGTGCCGCAGTACGCTAAGATAGCAGCGCCACTAACCGACCTACTGAAAAAGGATACGCCCTACAAATGGGATACCCCTCATCAGCAAGCCATGGAGCAGCTACAAACAGCACTGACTACAGCACCAGTACTCATCTTTCCGGATCCAGACAAGGACTACGTGGTGGAAGCAGACGCTAGTGACCAAGCAGGCGGAGCAGTACTGATGCAGGATCACGGACACGGTTTGCAGCCCATCGCCTACCTCAGTAAGAAGCTACATGGAGCAGAACTAAACTACCCCATTCACGACAAGGAAGCCTTAGCGATAGTCATAGCCTTCAAGGCGTGGAGGTGTTACCTAGAGGGAGCCAAGACTACAGTCTATACTGACCACTGTAGTCTCAAATACCTGAAGTCACAGCCGACACTCTCACGACGACAGGTGCGGTGGGTGGACTTCCTAGAAACTCACTTCCACTACGACATCGTCTACAAGCCCGGGCTACACAACAAGGCAGACGCGTTGAGCCGCCCCGGACATGTAGCAGGCATCCAGCTCGACGGGATGAACCCTCTCCTCAACGGTCTATTCCAACATGGGTACTCCGTGGACGCAGAGATTGCTACAGCACAGACCAAGAAGCTATTACAGTGGGAGAAAGACTTAGCTGTAAGGAAGGGTTCTGGAAAGATTTGGGTACCGAATTACGCCCCGCTACGGCAGATCCTATTGGAGGAGTTTCACGACGTACCTTACGCGGGACATTTCGGGAGCAACAAGACGTTAGCAGGGATAGCGAAGTATTACTACTGGCCCGGGATGGCAGCAGACGTGCAGCAGTTCGTCACCTCTTGCGACACGTGCCAGCGGATGAAGAGCAGCAAGCAGAAAAAAGCAGGGTTACTTCAACCTCTACGCGTACCGGAGCAGCCATGGCAGGTCGTTAGCCTCGACTTCATCACATGACTTCCTTCGACCTTACGGGGACATGATTCCATCCTCGTGGTGATCGATAAGTTCTCCAAAATGGGTCACTTCATACCGACCAACGCCACAGCTACAGCTAAAGCAACTGCTCGACTCTTCTTTGACCGCATCATCACCATCCACGGCATCCCCGCTACACTCATCTCTGACAGAGACCCCAAATTCACGAGTAAGTTCTGGAAGGAGCTCATGGGACTGTTGGGGACAAAGCTTGCAATGTCTTCAGCATACCACCCCCAGACTGACGGACAGACAGAGCGACTCAATCAAGTGGTTGAACAGTTACTGCGCACAGCTTGCAAGGACGACGCCAGCCACTGGGATACACAGTTACCGACCCTAGAGTTCACTTACAACAACGCATCACATGCGGCCACAGGAAAAACTCCTTTCTTCCTGTGTTACGGACGGGAACCACTCACACCACAGCAGCCAACCACACCGGCATACGTCCAAGCCGCACATGACTTCGTCACCA